TCAGGGGCAGGTTGATCAGAAATTATAGTAGAAAATATATCTCTTTTACACGTAAAACAATTTGAGAGAATTTCTCTCCCCCCTCAGCTATCATTTGTCTACTCACCCCTATTCATGTCAGGGCAAACTTGGTTTAGTGAATAAATAATTTTTTGGTTTATCAGTGATGTATAATCATATTAAAATAATAGAAATGAGAGATCAAAATAAGAGAAAAAAGCCGTTTATCTGTGACTTTATACATGTATAGCACATAAAACTGAGTAGTCAAGATGAGAGTGATTCACATAAGAGCAGTGTCATATTTGGTGGCAAATTTCAATTTAGTTTTAGTCATAGTATTTTAACTAAAAAGCCATTTTAGCTTTAGTTATATTTTAGTTATCTGAATTGTTTTAGTTTTAGTCTAGTTTTAGGCGACTAAATCTCCAGTAGATTTTAGTTGACAGTACTAAACTCTAATGTGTTTAGTTAAAGCCTCTATCTGTCTCTTTTTCTCCTTCCACAGCCCCTCTGTGCAGTGTTAATTTTGGCGGCAAATTTCAATTTAGTTTTAGTTATAGACTTTTGACTAAAAAGACATTTAGTTTTAGTCATATTTTAGTTATCTGAATTGTTTTAGTTTTAGTCTCGTTTTAGGTGACTAAATCTCCAGTAGATTTTAGTTGACACTACTAAAATCTAATGAGTTTAGTTTAAGCCTCTATCTGTCGCTTTTGCTCCTTCCCCAGCCCATCTGTGTCTCTTTGTGTCCTCCCAACCCCTCTGTGTGTCTCTCTCCGAAGCCCAGGTCTGTCTCTTTTGCCCCTTCCACAGCCCGTCTGCGCAGTGTTAATTTTGGCGGCAAATTTCAATTTAGTTTTAGTCATAGTCTTTTGACTGAAAAGACATTTTAGTTTTAGTCTAGTTTTAGGCGACTAAAATTGTTAGTTGACAAAATTAACACTGCATGAAGACCTGTACATACCTTTTAAACCACTGCAATTCCCTGCAAATAAACTGCAGATTTTATATATTTGGAGGTTTAAGAAAGGCATTCTTGAAAAAAAAGTTAATGAACGACCTCCAATTCCAACCATTGCTCTTATTCATTTTTATCCATACTTGTTTTTTTTTTTTTTTAGCAATAATATTATAATAAGGCACATGACAAATAAACATACATGCCTAATAATAAAAATAAAGTTTCCCTGTAATCTGTTATGCAATAGGACAAGTCATCTGGGGCTCATTATACAAAGCTCTTCTCTTGCAGATGATAATTCTTAATGCATTACTGGAATTTCTAAATTGATTCATCTTTTTTTGATGCAAGGTGCTAATACCAGTATTTGCAAAGCATTTCTGTGATCAAAGTCAACCTACTATGCACACACCCTTTTTATGAAACAATCTTTCTATGATCCAATGTCATTTCTAATGATCCATCCAAATACATAATACAGCTAATAAATCTCCATAACCTAAAAGATGTTCCATTTGGAATGTCCCTGACAGTTAATTTGTTTCATATAATTCATCTTAGCCTTTGGTCTTATCTTATGCAAGTTGTACACTTACATATTTTTCAGTTTCCCACTGACAATACCTTTGCATTTGCCTGTAGCCTTTTAGTACGTGTCTTTAAATTGTTTTATTCTTTAAAGGAGGCTGTGTTGGGAGTTCTTTATGATAACAAGATAATTAATCAGTGCTCTTTAATATTAATGTGATCACGTGCAATGTTTTCTTTATGTCGCCTCACCCCCCAAAAGAAAATACAAAACACTATGTTGACCCAATAAAATAATTTAAAATTAGCCCTATAATGTGCATTTAGATAAATAAATATACATACATATGTACGTATATGTCACTTTAACAGTGTTATTCACTAAAGTTAAAATTCAAAGTGAATTTCAAATTTAAGACCATTATAGCCAAAGTGTAAGTATCGATGACTTAGATAATTTTTCCATTTGACCTCAAATGCGTAATTAACTTTGAATTCTCATTTTAGTCTATTACCCTTTTTAAATAATTGTATTAGTTCAGTTTATCATAATATTTGGCCCCAACAGTGCAGGTGCTTATAATATGTCTCACTGAGTACAGGAGGAATAATTTCGTCAGACGTAGTCACCTGCAAGTCACACAAAATGATCTTTTAGATTGTTCCTAATTTTTCTTTAAATTTTAATAAACATTAAAATATATTTAAACATACGTAAAAGCTATAATTTGTCTGTCTAAGAAGCTGTTGTTAATAAGAAAGTGTATTTTTCATCATAAGAAAATTAGCAATGAGTAACGTATGTTAGAATAACAGAAAATGAAAGGAACAGGCTTCCTAGAATTAAGCCCCGTGGCCTTCTTGTCACAGCTTGGTCATAGCTGGCAAACCATTTATGGGGATCCACGCCAGCTATATTCAAAACATTCCATTGTATTATTAAGAAAACTTGAGAGAATAAGGAAGGGAAAGTATTTTTCAAAGTATCCCATTTCGTTTGTGTGTCACTGAACAGAAATTCATATTGTTATTTTATAACTAGTGCAGTTATTTAAATTGCCTCAGGTGGTAATCTTTTGTACACACTTCACTTAGAGATGCTTTGTTTTAATTTGTGCCAGCTATAAATAGAAAAATAGTTTTTACTGTACATTTAAGTTTATGCCGAGGCACTTTTAGACAACAGCATATTAATAAGGAGCGTAAAAGAGTAATTAAGCTTGGCAGCTCTGCTTTAAAGGATCACTATAGGGTCAGGAACACAAACATGTATTCCTGACCCTATAGGGTTAAAACCACCATCTAGCCCCATGGGCCTCTCATGCCTCCATAAATATAGCAAAATCCTACTGTATTCAAGCCTGAAGCTGTAACTCTGCATGCTGTTTGCCTCAGAAAAACAAGCATTCTGCTGACATCATCAGAAGTGGTAGTCTGATTCAGTCACAATGCTTCCAAATAGGATTGGCTGAGACTGACAAGGAGGCAGATTAGGGGCAGAGCCAGCATGATTCAAACACAGCCCTGGTCAATCAGCATCTCCTCATAGAGATTAATTGAATCAATGAATCTCTATGAGGAAAGTTCAGTGTCTGCATGCAGAGGGAGGAGACACCGAATGTTTGGATGCATTATAGGCAGCTATGACCCAGGAAGGATCTCTAACAGCCATCTGAGGAGTGGTCAGTGAAGTTATCACTAGGCTGTAATGTAAACACTGCATTTTCTCTGAAAAGACAGTGTTTACAGCAAAAAGCCTGAAGGTAATGATTCTATTCACCAGAACAAATTCAGTAAGCTGTAGTTGTTCTGGTGACTATAGTGTCCCTTTAAAGATTTTCTCAGACCAACTTTTTTATATTTTCCTTTTATCTTTCTAACTCCCTTTCTTTTTTCCAGATGTGCTAAATTTGGGTGAGGAAAAGATTTTATGGATTTTTTGCCAAATGGAGTAAATTGGTGTATTTCTTAAACAGAGATTTGGCCTGGTTAGATGCAACGGTCTACACATTTTTACATTCTTAGAGGAACTTCAAAGATTTAATGTTTTATTAATCATTATTAATAGATAAAACTAAAAATAGCTTTCTATTTTTATTTTTTATTTTTTTAATTCTTTATTTTTATTGTGCAGGTGTCAACAATCAAGCTTAGTATGCCACGACAACATTATCAAGCGTAGTAGAACATGTACAGGATTAGATAATTGTGGCAGTCATAAAAATTGCACATTTTATATTATAATAACAGGCGAGTAACAATAACATAAAAATAAATGTCAATAGGTAAGTGAAATAATATGGTGTATCAATCATGCTATGGTAGCTGACGTAGTTGATGATTGTACTGAATGTTTCAAACAGAGTGAATGTGCATGTCTACAGATACCTAGGCAGTTTTTGCGCTTTTCAAATTATGATAGGAGAGAATTATAGCACAGTCAGGTAGTGACTGTAACTGCTATATCAGAGTGTGCAAGCCATCCTAACTGCAGCTAAAAATAGGTTGATACTGGAGTGTTATGTGAGAGCATGCGTGTGTCAGTAGCTTGATGATTGTGTTGCACGTTTCCCATTGTAAACATGCAGGCTTAGTGTGGTATACTGTGGTATGGTTAGAAAGTGTAACAGGATATTGCATAAAAAACAGTAACGTTGCATGAAGAAACAGTAAATGCACACAATTTAGGGTTCTCGTCTGTGGATAGGGTCTTCCCCATAAGGCCCCTTGTGATAAGCTTGGGAGTCCGGTTAGCGTTCGCATGTGAGTATAGAGAGGAAGGGAATTACGGCCTGGTAATGGAGGGTCCTGACGTCAGTCAGCCAATGCCTTTCAAGGGCAAGTTAAAGTCCCCTCCGTTGGATCTGGGGAACCAGCCCAATGCGACGAGTCCCAGCAATAAAGTACCCCGATGGCATGTTGAGAAGGGCTGCCCTGGAGTGGGTCTAGCACGAAAGTGCGGGGCCCTCTGACACAATGCCATCTCTCAGATGGGGCTGCACAGGTGGGAGAGGGGCAGTGAGGGGGTAGCCCTGTGGTGCGTCTCTGTTGAGGCTTTGGGCGACTCACCAGTGGTCGAAGATTGGTATGCTGGAGCTTATGTCGGGTCTTCTGCCTCCCTCTCCCTGCCACCAAGACACTCTCGGGGCTCTCACCGGTGTGGCAGGATTCTATGTGGGGTCTCTTTTGACTGTTGTCGATGGGATTTCATCCAGAGTGCTCCCACAGCTGGAGATCCTGGCCCAGAAGTCGGAGAATAAACGGTCTAGCCTTTCCAACAGTGGGGGCAGACCAGGCTCTGCTGCTGTGGCTCACGTGGCATCCGCCATGTTTGTATGTCGGTGGTCTGGTGGTGCTGGTGTTTTGAGGTTGGTGCCTCCGCTCTGGGCTCCAAGCTTTAGTTGCCTGGATATCCCTTACTGGCAGGGAGGTAGAGAGGATGTTCCTGGGAGATCTCTAGTGTAGTATGGTACAGTCGGCAGAGGGATCGGCCGCCTTCCCCATGCCTCCCGAGTAGGCCACAAGTAGGCCTCAGGTCTATCCCCTGGATGCAGTCACCTAGCTTGGTTGCTGACTCGATTGGGTATTTCTTTCATTGCAGACCCCTGTCTCTGGGGCTTGAAAGCAGGCGATTTATAGTTTGTTGAGGTAATTGTGGCTTATTTTGGGCTTCTTAGCCCGGAGCTCCTCAGAAGTACGACCGCTCAGCTTGGCCGTCAAACTCTGCCCCTATTGATGCTTTTTTCATTACCTGAAAAACAAGAAATTATGTGAATGATGAGAATGTACAACAGCTCAAACAGATTGCCTTTTCTTGGGTTTAAGTGTAGATCCCTATAGCAGGGCGCTCTTCAACCTATCGTTTCTGTAAGTTTTCTTGTAATTTTCCCATTTATAGTTAAATCCTCCCTCTAATAATATTGTAAAGCGCTATGGAATCTGTTGGCGCTATATAAATGGCGATAATAATAATAATAATCTCATATATGTTTTAGCTCACTCATGTCATTACAGAGAGAACCTTAGCCAGTTGATTCCACCAATAAGGGCAGTTCATATCTGAAACGCTGACAAGTTCCCTCTACACAATAAATATATCAATGCTAGACAATTACATCAGTCTTCATTGGGCTTCACCATGAGGCTGATACCCTTCCAGGCATTGATGTACCTAGCACGGTCGCAGGGGTTGCAACTGCGACCGGGCCTGTCACTCCAACAACTCCTGCGCCCGTGGGCCACCACGACTTCAGGGTTGGCGCGGCAGCAGTCGCTGGGTGACCGGCGGTAGGTGAGCGCTGTTCTGTGTAACGCTACACACAGACATAAGGTATAGGGGAAGAGTGGGGACAGAGGCATTGAGTGCTGGATGGAGGAGTGAGGGGGCTTAATGAGGGCTGAATGGGGGACTAAGAGAGGTATTAAGGGCTTAATTGGGGTGAGATAGAGAGCTGGATGGGGTGAAGGGGCTAATGAGGATTAGATTGGGGATATGGGGGTTAATGAGAGCTGGATGTGTGGTGAGGGGGGTTAATGAGGATTGGAAGGAGAATGAGGGGGGTTAATGATGGCTGGATGTGGGGTGAGAGATGGAGGGAGGGCTGGATGAAGGGTGAGGGCGAATAATGAGGGCTGGATGGGGGTGAGGGGATTAATTACGGCTGGATGGGCTGTAAAGGATGGGGCGAGGAGGTTAATGAGGACTGGGTGTGGGGCGAAGGGGGTTAATGAAGACTCAATGGGGGGTGAGAGGGAATGAGGCAAATGGAGAGGTGGAGAAGTTAGACAAATGGAGGGGCTGGGGGAGGAGCGGGGAAATGAGCCATGGAGTAGCTTAGAGGGAGAGAATAAGGCTCATGACGGGGCTGGGGGGAGGGAAGGAGACACATGGGGGGGAAGGAAATTAGACATATGGAGGAGCTGGGGGAGGGAATGAAACACATGTGTGGGCGGGGGGCCCGGGACAATTGTTGCACCAGGGCTGGTGGTTTCTAGTGCACCAGGGCTAGTGCTTCCAGGCACAGGGAATCCATGCCAGCATTACTCTTTTGATTTAAGGATACACTTTTACTATGCAACTTAGCCAAAAACAAAGTTTCTGAGAACAATCAGAATGGGCAAAATCTCAAGCAAGTTGTCCTTCAATGGATCCCTGCTCGTTCTCATTCAGGTATTACCTCTCTCTTACCAGTTCTTTAACTATTCACATATCAGACTGATCCCACCTATGAGTGCAGTCTAAATCTGCTAGGAAGTTCCCAATGGAGCTGGAGGACACATACAGTTCATTTTGTTGTAGCTTTGTACTGCAGGTTAGCCAGGAGATCAGAGTAAAGTAGAACATATTGGGATGTCCAGAATTTAATACCTGCTTCTCTATTCATAGTTTTAAACATTTGGTATCTAGAACCTCATATATGGGACTAGGGTAGAGGTGAGTATTCCTCAGCACTCAGGTACAACCATCACTGTTTACTTGCCAGGATACAAGAAAAGCCTGGTATGTAAACTGCATTCATTGTCACACCAGCTATGATTTCATCAACACATCCTTTTTAAATACTGATGGACCCAACATAAATACTGCTGTCAAATAGTATATAGAATTCTTGAGCTGCAGAGGGCAAATCAAATCATTCAATTAACAATTAAAGAAACACCATATAGTGTTAGCAATATAAATATGTATTCCTAACACTATAGTGTCCTCTAGCTGTTTAAGTGACCTCTCCTCAAATGTTTAAAAATATGTATTTTGCTTACCTTTTCTCCCACACTTCGGTGATCTCTCCATGGTCAGTCCCGCCTCCATAGCTAGCTAGTGAAAGGGGACCGGCTAGCAGCCGCCATGTTTTGCGGCCCCGGCCCACGCAGCAAACCGCCAGAGCTGCATGTGAAGGAGCCCATCTGGTGGCCCATGCTGTTAGGGCCACCCAATGGGTATGGATTTCCAGGGGACCCGGTCAGCGCTGCGGTGCTTTAATAGTGCAACCGGGCCCCCTGTCATGGGATCACTGCTGGGAGGAAGTGACTGCCCATCACTCCTCCCAGCTATCAGCGAGAGCCCGTGCAGGAGGAAGGGAGGGAGACAGAGTGGGAACTCTAACTCCCATCAACCTGAGTCACCACTGGACCCCAGAGAATGTCACACTTCTGCACCTAAAAGGTAGGAAACAGGAGGGTGGCTTGAACATGTTGTATATGTGTGTGTGTGTTTGTTTGTATATATGTATGTGTGTGTGTGTGTCTGTATGCATGTGTCTTTGTGTGTGTGTGTGTGTCTGTCTGTCTGTATGTGCATGTGTGTGTGTATGTGTGCCTGTCTGTTTGTATGTAGATGTCTTTGTATGTGTGTGTGTTTCTGTGTCTGTCTGTCTGTGTCTGTGTGTATGTCTGTCTGTATGTATGTGTCTGTGTGTATGTATGTATGTATGTATGTATGCATGTGTCTTTGTGTGTGTCTGTCTATCTGTGTGTATGTATGTGTGTGTCTGTCTGTATGTGTCTGTGTGTATGTGTGTGTCTGTATGTATGTGTCTTTGAATGTATGTGTGTATTGTGTGTGTCTGTCTGTGTGTATGTATGTGTGTATGTGTCTGTATGTATGTATCTGTCTGTCTGTGTCTATGTGTGTGTGTCTCTATGTATGTATGTATGTCTGTATGTATGTGTCTCTATGTATGTATGTATGTGTCTGTATATATGTATGTGTCTGTGTGTGTGTTTGTCTGTTTCACACCGGGGCCCCATGGACTGTGTGTACGCCACTGCTAGTGCGCATGCGTGGATAAAATGCCACATTATGCCATTCAGATGTTCTTGTTGAGACCATCTATTATAAATATTTGTCTGGAAGCACCTAGATGTTTTTAAACCCTCCACTGTAAACAATTCTGTCCCCCCATAGCATCAATATTTGCAGCTGCACAGTTAAAACTTCAGGGACATGGCACCCAGACCACCTCATTGAGATGAGGTGGTCTGGGTGCCTGTATGTCCCTTTAAGGAAATCAAAGCATGATTGCATGGGTTAATTAATTAATTTCCCCTGCTACAACACATAAATACCACATACTGGTTGATGACAGCAAAAAAGCTAGTATAAATGATATGTATCTATGAACAAATATAATTATATCTTTTATCAGAAATATAATAACATTTGAATATGCTGAGAATGTTAGCTTGTTCTAAGAAGTAATCAAACAAAAAGAAAATAATAGGCATATGTTATTTTGCTTGATAATTCATGCTGTGAAAAACACCACAGATGCAGTGTTGGAGCAATAATGAATTATCCAGGTGTGACATCTTGCTACAGTTAACTTAACACCCTTTTTGTGAGGTGAACCTGTCCAAAAATATTTTGGAAAATGTATGTATATTCATTAAATGATTTAACTGTACAGTGTTAGCAGACTGTAAGCTAATGTCCCAATTGTTTAGCACATCTTGGACTTTTGAATAAAAAACTCTGACACCCCTCAAGGGATAAACTTGACTGCAGACCCAAAATATACCTTTACCCCATTGCCCATTAACAACACGGACACTTAGATATATCGGAAAGGATAACAACCACAGCTTTATTAAAAAAATTTATATACCATCTCATAATCAGGCAGCCTGCATCCTTTAACAACCTGTCAGCTGTTGGGGGGTTAACCCAACAGACAGTTAAAGGACCACTATAGTGCCAGGTAAACATACTCGTTTTCCTGGCACTATAGTGCCCTGAGGGTGCCGCACCCTCAGGGACCCCCTCCCGCCCGGCTCTGGAAAGGGGAAAAGGGGTAAAACGTACCTTTTTCCAGCGCTGGGCGGGGAGCTCTCTGCCTCCGATCCTCCTCCGTTCCTCCCCGTCGGCTGCTTATCAATGCTTTCCTATGGACGCTTGCGTGCTCTCACTGTGATTTTCACAGTGAGAAGCACGCAAGCGCCTCTAGCGGCTGTCAATGAGACAGCCACTAGAGGCTTTGGGGCAAGGCTTAACCCATTTATAAACATAGCAGTTTCTCTGAAACTGCTATGTTTATAAAACAAATGGGTTAACCCTAGCTGGACCTGGCACCCAGACCACTTCATTAAGCTGAAGTGGTCTTGGTGCCTAGAGTGGTCCTTTAACCTTCGAAATTCCAAGATCCCACGGCAGCTTGGACTTGCCATCTGCCTAAATTGCAGACTGCGGCTCCCCAAGTCCCCAATTCTGTCTTATCCTTTTACTGTGCTTCCCAGGAATACTCCCTGTGACAATAAAAGCAATAAACCATACAAACAGAAACAACAACACAATATTCAACAACAACAACACCCAGAAATAGTGATCTAATTTATAGTAACACTTTTTTTTTTTGTATTTGTGGAAGGGAGGGCAGGTGGGAAGGCAGTCTGGATGCCTCAACTGTTCAGCTAAGACTGAATTCCCCACCCAGCAACAAAATTCAAAAAACCCTAGAAACACTGGCTACAATTTATCTATGTAGAGCTGCAGTCATTTCCCCCCTTTCCCACTTTGTCCACAAGGGTTTTCTTTTAAGCAACTTTCACAAAGTTTATTTGTAACCAAAACATGATTAAAGATTTGTTGATAGTCAGCAGGTGCCCCCAGTTATGGCACCCACGCAGGTCACCTACGAGATGTTTGAGCTTCATAATTCCTAAGTTTACATCTTAATAACCACCATTGCATGTAAGGACTTGCCCAATTTGGTAATCAACTAATTTAAT